CCCTAGAAGAAAACTGCAACCACCAAAATACATGAATTGCTTGATGAAATAGTATTCTGTAAATAATAATTGAATAAATTAGAGCATCCAGTGGTAGTAGTGTATTTAGCAGCAGCAAGGTCAAATGGTGACCATCTAGTCATTGAAATCATGATGGAAATTTAGTTAAAAGCAGCATTTGTGTCAAAAACAGGAGCAAACTGGTTGAGGAGTGTGTTGTACCTGGGCATCATCAATCAGGATGTCCTTGATGACTGGGTGTCCTGTGGGCTCCCCATTAACCATCCTGACATAGTGCACCTGGTACCCTCGAATCTGACCGTGCTGCTTGGTGGGCATCGGTGAACGCCAGATGACTTTAATTGATGAGGAGTTGACAGCTTCCACCTCAACTTTACGAGGTGGCCCACTAGGAACTGGAGGGACACCATGGGATAGAAAACACGGTCACAATTATAGAGAACCTTTTCCTCCCTTTATTTAAATCTTGCCCAGAGTTGAAGTGAAAAATGCTGCAGTCATAAAAAAAAAAAGCAGCAAACTGCAACAAGCACTGCATGACATCAATATTTCAACAATGGTAAGGGGGAAAAAACACCAAAAACAGGTCTGACAGCTGACCTAATCTTCAAACATTAAAAATGGGTAGAGTGGATTTTTCAAAACATGGAGTAAAAATATGTTTTGTCAAAATAGAAAAGTGGAGCCAAAGGGCGGGGCTTCAAGTTTTTGAAATCCTTGAAGCTCGACAAGAAATTTTGGCTATGAAACAAGTGAATATGAACAAAAAATGATTAAGTCACATGAGGGTAGAAAAATACAAATAGCCTTCAAAAAGAAAAAATATCTTCCACCTTTTTTATTCCAACTGTCCACAACTTGTCTTTTTGACAAGTTCCAAGAAGGAGAGACATAAAAAAAATCCTTCCATTCAAAAACACTGCAGAGAAGTTTTGTTTTTTTTTTCTTAAAAAAATGACAGTTGGTACTGGAAGTTGCAGGCCAGCAGGTGAAAATGCCATACCATGTGTTGAAATTGAGCAGCATTGTGGGGGAAAAAAGTCAAAAAAATGTGCTTTTGCAAAGTGAGTTGAAGTTTTTGAGTCCAAAAGAGGGGACAGTTAGAAGCAGGTAGAGAAGAGTAGAAAAGAAGAGTAAATTGTAGGTAACAAGCGAAGATGTTAGTAATTGAAGGGGGGAGGTGAAAAGGGAGGAGACTGGATGTTCAGCCTGGGCTTTGTTTTGTTTGCGAACACATACCATCCTCCTCTGTGCGGACAAGCTGGGGCACACTCTCCGGTCCCGCTCCCACATCTGTATGGGCAATGACTCTCACATGGTACTCTGTCCATTTTTCCAAGTTTTCCAAAAGATACTGGGAGCTTTCTGGAGGGATGCTAGAGATCTGACGAGTAGTTGCCGTGTCCTCTCCTTCATTTGCAGTGTACAGTATAGTGTACTGTGTTATGATCCCGTTTTGTAATTCCACTGCTGGTGGTCTCCAGTTGACCAGAATGCTGGTGGAGCTGGGGCTAAAGCACTTGACCTCCTGAGGTGGGCCTGAGGGTTCTGCACGTGTTGTTTGGAATTTTGCAAGCAGGTTATGTTTGTGGTTGTTTGGTTGGTAGGTGTGCAGGGCCATTCAAGGTTGGATAGTTGGTTCAGTTTTGTTTAAGAATCAGGATGATGATGTTGATGATTTTAATGACCAAACAGAGAAGAACACAAAAAAAAAAGTAAAATCACAATGGAGGAAAAAAAAAAACATGACAACATGATAACTCATGTATAACTCAAATAAATAATCAATGAAATATAAAAATAAAAAGAAAGACTCATAAATGTACATACCATAGAGATGAATGGAAGACATTAATTGAGAAAAAAAACAGCTTTACAATATAAAACCTACCTTTATGGTGAATAAAATATATAAAAAGTAATATATAAAAGTTTATTTACCCTGAAATTACCCTTTATTTGTAAGGAAAAACCCAAATTTTTCAAGTACTTTATATTAAATGTTTCCAAAATAAATTTGTCAACAACTAAGGCAATCTTGGCAAGCAGTTACCATCAATCCAAAAACATAAAGGTTGATGCTATAACTAGTTTAAATGAGAAAAAAAAACATAGTTTTTTGGTCACCAACCTTTCCGAAGCCTGTTGGTTTGTGGTAAAAGCCTGATTGTACAACAGAGAACTTCCCAAGGAGACATGACTGGTTTATTACATTCTGATAACATTGGCATGCACGTTTTTAATTAAAAGTCTATTATTTACCTCAGAACACGCATCAAGGCAGAGTTCGATCTTGGTCTGCCCTTGTCCAATAGTGACCTTAGATTTATGGTTTAAATTTGTTTTTTTAAGATTGAATTTTGGGGGTCAATTAAACAAGACAATAATAAAATAAAATTTGAAAAAATGACATTCTGTTCCATAAATCTGAGGTCTTTTAGGTGCAAACTATGGTAGCTTTCTATGATATAGTTACGTGAAAAACATTGATGTATCTAGAAGTAATATTAGGTAGTGCAACTACATAGAAAGCTGGTTTGGATTGGTTTTTCAAATGTATTTGGCTGGAATAAACGTCAAGAGACAAGGTTTCCTGAAGGCAAAACACTCCAGAGAAAAAAATACTTTGATTACTACAGATGTTGGCATGGAAGTAAATAATGCAAGGCTTTATAATTCATTTACACCTGAGTGGTTTTGAACAACAAAGGTAAAGAGTGTTACTTTTTACACAACCCTGTCTCCTGACTTCACAGGAAAAGCCAGGTGTACTGTCCATGCAACCTTTTCAAAGGGAATATAGTCTGTGGTCAGGCAAACTTCATTGCCCATATTTACCATTAAAATTGTGCACACATTAGGTATTTTTCAAATGCAACCTTACATTTTTTGTTGAAGACTTTACTGAGTTTATTTGTCAGTTGTCAGATTAAAAAAACTGCAGTTGCATTTGAAAATGTGTTCCTTTTGTCAAGTGTTATAAACTTAGATAAGGAAGAACACCTACGTGTCTGTGGAGTCTCGGCAGAAATCTCATTGGTGTAAGCTCCGACTCCGTGTTTACTACGAGCAGCCAGTCGAAAAGTGTAAGTGGTGAAGGGTTTCAACTCCTTCAGGAGATATGTTGTTGTTGGCTCAAAACTGACTTGTCTCTGTGAATAAAGGAAAAAGGAACAGTTTTCTTCCATAAGGAGGGTTAATATGATTGTGTCAATTATACAGTGGACATAACTGCCATTGGCTTTCTTTATCAAGTAAACAACACACACTCTTTTTTGGAAACCCCACCCCACATACCCACACCTTTGTCTCCTGCCCTGGCAGAGAAAGTACTGAAGCCTAAAGGCCCACTCCAAACAGCTTTATCCATCAGGATGTCAGGACTCTGAACTCCATACACTGTATGCTCCCTGATCCCCGCTGCCCCTTTGAACTACACATCACACATGGAACTACCTCTAAACAAATGACTATTAAACAAACTCTTGCACACAGACCACCATTTCCCCTGTGTGTGATCTGTTTATCCTATCTTCTACACTGAAGTATATGTCACTACTGCAATATACGACTATATGACTACCACAATAGACCCTTGCTGCTGAGAGAATATTTTCAGTGTTTCTGTATGTGCTGTAACTATTATAAATAGTGAAGTTGACAATTAAAAATCTTTGGTCCAACATAGTCACTAATGTTTGATGAAGTTGGATAATTACCTCCTCTTTTTCATCCCTCTTCCTATACATAAGTTCATATCCAGTGATCTGATTTTCTTGTCCAGTCTGTGTTGGGGCGACCCATGAAAGCAGGATGCTTGTTTCAGATTTGGCTTCTCCCCTGAAGTCAGTTGGTTGGGAGGGAACTAGAAAAAAGATGGAAGAAGTGCATTCATTACTTTACTTATCTTGTGCAGTTACAGTCATAAAGTTTGTGCTAAGTGTTATTGCCACATGAGCCACTTTGTATTTCAGGAGATGTAGTCATTCAGTCTCATTAGTGGAGTGAAGTCACAAACTGCACATTACTTCACACTGTAAAAATATCTAACTTTTTCTTTTTATAAAGTAAACTAAAAGACTTCCGGATTTCTTATTCAAGGTTCATTATACTCCAAGATCTAAACTCCATAATGTGTTTTTTGCAAATGTCGGCTAACAGCGTGAATATGTGTGTGTGTTTACTGCTGCAGGCGATAATTGAAATCCTATAATAAGGATCAGTGAAGCTGCAGAAATGTTTGTGACATTTAAATTTTAATTGATGAAAAAGTCAAAAACATTGTCCACCTATAAAGTTTTATTGTCATTCTCACCTCCGGTCTTGGCAATGATTTGAAGATCTGGGGACAGGGGTCCATCTCCAACTGAGGTGTAGGCCAGGACCTTGATGTAGTAGGTCCTGTTGGGGATAAGTCCCTGGATGGTGACAAAAAGAACCCCTCTAACAATCTGCTTTTCCCAGAGGTTAACATGCTGGGAAGAATCCGTGGTGTAGTAGACCCTGTAGCCCATGATCTGTCCATTGGGCTCCTCAGGTTCATCCCAGTGAATAACAGCTGTGGTAGCACTCATCATGTGACCCCTGACCTGCCTTGGTGCCGTGCTGGGTGCCTGTTCAGCTGTTTTGGCCTCAATGCTCTCACTGGGTGGCCCCCGGCCAATGTTGTTGACAGCCACAACCCGAAATTCGTAGTCGGAGTACGGGCTGAGGCCCCCCACACTGTACCGGGTGGTGGCTACACCATCAATCTCCTTGTACAAGTCGTCCGAGTACTTGGACTTGTGTTGGATTATGTAGTAGGAGACTGGTTCAGGATTTCCAGAGTCCCAAGTCAGTGTTATGCTGGTGGCGGTCCGCT